GTCTTAGCTCTCACAGGACTAGTGTAACCTCAGACAAGTTGTTTAATCTCTACAACTTATTTTTACTTAATAGCATATTAAGGGCACTGGATTGCATGCTGTTGAAGAAGATTTTTGTCTCTAAAATTCTAGGACTTTATTAAATATTTATTGCAAATAACAAGGCAAATCATATAACAAGTGTTTGAATACAAAAGAATAAACACATAGTATCGAAACATGGCCCAAGCTGTCAAGGAGTTTACTGATATTTAAATGGGCTTCTAGTTTCCAGAAGGCACAAAATTCTTGATGAAAATGATTTCATTACATAGATTTTAAAAATCTGAAAATTCTGAGTTGACCTCTTTTAGGTCCTTTTAATAGGTTGTTTTGAATTTAGTACTCTGTTGGTCTTTAATTCTCTGGGTATAAGATTTCAAATGCAAGATGGCACAGGGGTGGGAGAGTGGCTTTTGGTGTCAGTGAGACCTGGGTTTGAACCTCACCTTTTCCTGGACAAGAGAAAGCACCTGTCTCAGATTCGTTTTATGATCTTTTATAGTCATTTTTACACTCTTTTAATAAAGAGAAAGGTAAAACCAGTCCTCTCTTTGAACCCAATTCTATTCCCCAGAGATAATGAGTAAGGCAATTATGTTCAAGTTTTTGACTGGAGCATCCCAGGGCTTAATTTCTGCAAGAAATTAATAAATAAAATTAGCTAAAAACAATGCTTAGTTTCATGTCCCTATGTGTGCAGCTGTCCCTCAGCCTCTTTGGGGTGTGCCTGGGCTTTCCCCGTCTGTCCTTTTGCACGTCGTAGTTATTCTTCCCCACCTCTCCTCACAATCATTCAAAGGAAAGGTTCAGATGAAATTCTTCCTTGGGTACTGTCTGGGTAACCCCTGTGATTCATCTGCCATGCTCTGAATGTCCATACCTTTTACTCTCCTTCTTTCCTGTAAGATCTTATCTTTCCTGTAAGACTGCAAGTCACGTGAAGGGTCTTTGTTTCATGAAAGTTTGTCACTACATATAGTACCTAACACTGTCCCTTCCACATATTAGCTACTCAATAGATGCTTGCTTAGTTAATAAATGTAGTTTAAAATTGGGCAAAATGTTTGAAAACACTGGAAAACAGCTGGTTTTATTTTGATTCCAAAGATGTAAAATTCTAAGCCATGTTTCTAAAATAAAAGCATTATTGGGCTTCCCTGGTGGCGCAGTGGTTGAGAGTCTGCCTGCCAACGCAGGGGACATGGGTTTGTGCCCTGGTCTGGGAAGATCCCACATGCCGCGGTGCGGCTGGGCCCGTGAGCCATGGCCGCTGAGCCTGCGTGTCCGGAGCCTGTGCTCCGCAATGGGAGAGGCCACAACAGTGAGAGGCCCACGTACCGCAAAAAAAAAAAAAGCATTATTAATTCTGGGAAAATGCTCTATTAGTCTTGAGCCATATACAGTTTTTCAGGCCTCTCAGGAGTCATCTCTGACAGAGGATGTCAACACAGGGGAGAGAAGGAAAGAGAGAAACTCTGCTATCACATGTATTCCTCAGAACTAGATACCAACCTGAGCGAGCTGCCCTGCCTTGAACCCCCTCCTTCATAAACTCACAAGAATTGAAATAAAGAAGGAAACACTGCTTATGTTTTTTTCTTTTTAAAAAGCACAAGCCTAACATAAAAGCTTCTCCATAAAGCAAGCTTAAGATCACAGTCAGCAGCAAGGCGGCCAAGCGGTGTTATGTGTGCACAGAGAAGTGGGCACAGAAGGGCGGCCCCACAGGCACTGTGAGGGTAAGATGCACAGCCACCCTGCTGCTCTATCTCGCCCCATCTCAGTCCTTCTGCAGCCTGTACCAAGTGTGTCGTGGATGTACCAGGTCATCTTCAATCTAAATCTTGTTATAGATTAATAAGCAAACATTTTCTTGCTTATTATACAATTTATCATGATGAAAATTACATTGGACTCCTCAAGGCTACACGCTGATACATTCATTTATTCAGAGCTGTGTGTAGAGAGTTATACTAATCTTCATGACAGAAAAGGATGTAATAGCAAGATTTAAATTACCTACTGAAAGCTAAAGTATTGGTGTCTGTGGACATACTCCATGTAGATAAAACACAGCACATCTTTATGTTTGCTGATATAAGCTTCATGTGAACTTATTTAAACACAAAATAAAACAAAATGTTAGATGGTTAGTCTAAAATAGAAACCCATTACTTCTCCCAGGCAACAAAACAAGACTGCATACTATTGAAATTGTTTTTGATCAGATTTGAAAATAGGCTATAAAATTAGGTCAAAGTAAAATTCTGGACAATCAAAAATATTAAAGGCTTCTCAAGGTAACCAGGAGAGCTGAGGTAAAAGAAGCCACTCTGTTGATTCCTTGGAGGGTGTCCATGGCAGTTGCAGCCAAGGGGAGAGTAAAAGGTTGAAAATACGTTCCAGGCTTTGCACAAAGGCCAGCCTCTTACGACTGCTGCCAACTCATGGGCTCACATTCCCTCCTAATCCTTTAAGTCAATCGAGAACCTTCAGGCCACCTGTATCCATCCAGAAACTATCCTGATTGTCACTATGTGGAAGTGTTTATTCTAGAAACGGGCATCTCTTCCATCTGTTGAACACTAGGACAATGACAATGGCATCACCATCCATACCCCCTCCCCCAGCAATATAGGTAACATCCATTCAATCTCTTAACATGTGCTAAGTGCTCTTCTAAGCACCTGGCAAATATAAACTCACTTAACATCAATCTTATGAAGTAGGTATTTAATTAGCCCCAACTTGTAAATGGAACTGAGGTGAGAGGTGAAGTAATTTACTGAAGGGTACATAGCTAGGGAGACACAGAGGTGAAGTTGAGGAAGTGTGGCAGTATGAAGCAGGTGAAGGGGGAGGACAGCTGCTTGGGTTTGAAATGAATACCCTTCCCCTACCAGTCACTCTTGGGACTTTGGGCTGGGGATGCCCAATCTGTGGACAAAGTCACAGCATTCCAGTCTAGCCTTCAGTTGTTTCTCTGGTCTCCACTTCTGAGCATAGAGCAGCCAGCAGAAAGATGACAGGCCCAAAGCACGCTAGAATATAAGGCAACTGCGGGATATGAGAGAGGTAACCATGAAGAAAAGGGCAGAGAACTCTAGTTTTTTAAGAGGTTAGCAATGGTAAGCATGAAATGCCATTCACTGAAAAAATCAAAGAGGTGATAACACTTACAGGCAGACCTCAAAGATACTGTAGGTTCGGTTCCAGAGCAGCGCAATAAAGCGATGCACACGAATTTTTTAGCTTCCCAGTAAACATATAAAAAGTATGTTTATACCATACTGTAGTCTATTAAGTGTGCAATATCATTAAGTATTGTTACAATGTACATACCTTAATTAAAAAATACTTTATTGCTAAAAAAGTCACAATAATTACAAAAATAACATCAAAGGTCACTGACTACAGACAACCATAACAAATATAGTAATAAAAAAGTTTGAAATGTTGCTAGAATTACAAAAATGAGACACAGAGTCATGAATGAGCAAATGCTGTTGGAAAAATGGTGCCAACAGACTTGCTCAATGCAGGGTTACCATAAACCTTTGATTTGTAAAAAAAAAAAAAAACCCACAGCATCTGTGAAACGCAATAAAGTGAAGGACAGTAAAATGAGGTCTGCCTGTACATTAAGAGAGGCATCATGGGACAGTTCAAGAATTCCTCCCACTAGGAATTCACCTTCACTAGGATGACTATACTAAAAAAGCAACAACAAAACCGGAAGATAAATGTTGGCGAGGATGCAAAGACAATTCCTACATTGCTGGTAGGAATATAAAATGGTGCACCTGCTATGGAAAACAGTTTGGTGGTTCCTCAATAGGCTAAACACAGAATTACCACATGACCCAGCAATTCCACTTTTAGGTATCTACCTAAGAGAAATGAAAACTAGGTGTTCAAACAAAGTGGAAGCAAGCCACATGTCCATCAACAGATGAATAGGTAAATAAAATGTGGTATATCCATAGAATGGAATATTGTTCAACTATAAAGAGAAACAAAGTACTGAAAAATGCTGCAACATGAATGAACCTTGGAATCATTATGCTAAGTGAAAGAAGTCAGACACAAAAGGCCACATACTGTATAATTCCATTTATATGAAATATTCAGAATAGGCAAATTCACAGAGACAGAAAGCAGATTATTGATTGTCAGGGGACAGTGGGAGGGGAGAATGGAAAGGGACTGCTCAGTGGGTATGGAGTTTCCATTTGGGGTGACTGCTACTGGGAACTAGGTAGTGGTGATGGCTGCACAACTGTGAATGCAGAGAATGTTGCTGAATTGTATCCTTTAAGAGGGATACAGTAGTAAATTTCCTGTTAGATGCGTATTATACCATCAAAACAAAACAAAAAAGACTCCCTCCAGGAATCAGGAGGCTGGGTTCTCAAGTCAATACTAACCTCTATCACCAGCCCCAGTTTCATTTTAGGAACTGCCTTGGATCCTCTTTTTATTCCTCTACTCTCATCCCTGCCTCCCTGGACCACTGCAACCTCCTTATGGCTGATCCTCTGCTGTGTGCAAATGAAACCTCAATAAAGTTGGTTTAAAAATTAACATGAGTGCAAAGGAGTAATTCCCCAAACTGGCCAGGTATTGTATCAGTAAAACATTTTTGAGCAACTATATATATCATTTTCCTTATATGTGATATGTTTATATTATTATTAGTTGATAATATCTCAAGGCACAATAAACATATTTAAAACTATGCCACGGATAAATCATTCATTGGCTCAAAGCTAAATCCCAATTGTGTTAAAATGACAGAAACATATCTCCCTTTCATTGTCTATTTCCAAAATTTCATATATTGAGATATTTGTCTATTTTTTCTCCATATGCAATTTATAAAGAGTAATCAATGACCTCTACTAAAACAAAACAAACAAAACCAATAAAAGCCAAATGAACTGAAATGGAGGGTGTACTTGGCAAGTTGTTTCTCGGCATCAGCACAAAGTTCAAGAAGCCCCATCAGGACAGCAGACACATCCATGTAAGGCTCCCAAACTGTGAAACCACGTCCAATCAGATCAATGGCTGTTCTTCGGATCGTACTGTGTGGAGGAAGTTTGGGGCTTGGTGGCTGCAGCAGAAGAAATGTCAGTGCCTTACCTAAAATTACAAAATAAAAGACAGAGCAATAAAGTAATTTTACTTTTGTGATGTTTTCTTTGAAGCATATTTTCAAAATATAAACCACTTTGGATTTACTTTAACTGACAAGGGGTTTTGAATAGTAAGACTATAAAAAGATCTCAAGTTTACAGTTTGTTTAGCCATGTACTTTAAAGAGATAAGTTAGGCTACAATATTTTATACCATATTCTAAAGTGTTGTAATTACATAATAACTATATTTAAATAAGTATATATAATTTCAAAACATAATAGTGATTCTAAACTTCCAAACAATGTTTCTCCCTACTCAGCATTCTGCAAAATGAAGATGCTTCCAAATAATGTAAGATGGTATTTCTTCATCTTTCTTCTGCATCTAACAGAATTCGTATGCGAAATGCTTCATCAATAACACTTCTCATCACAGGCAATGATTATCAACAGGGATGAGGGATGGAGAAGGTAGAATGTGTAGTTTTCAAAAGACTCCACTCCACACCGCCACTGCCCCAGACAAGCATATTTGTTCCTCCACATTCTGGTGTACCAATAGCAGACAATGACGTCAAGTACTGGTAAATTCTTCACATAAGTTTGTTACGCAATTTAAAAAATAGCTCAATATTACTTCTATATCTGATGAAATGATCTAGATTTTAATTAATATGTATTCCTTTATGTTGAAGATCAAGCTAACCATTTGTATACCTAAGCCAATGGTCATTAAGCTACAAAAGCTCATCTACTTCCAAAGGCATTTTGACATTAAAAAAACACAAAACACCAGGGATTGTCAAGAACAAACTGCAACTTAGAAGAGGGTTTTTTGTTTGTTTGTTTTTTGAGGGGAAGAAACAAAACAGTTTATAAATCATATTACTGTATAACATACTAGTTAAAGGGAACAGAGGCTTCAGATTCAAGACAGAGTATTAACTGATTTTATAACTTACTAGGGGGCAGGCTTAGGAAGATACTCAGTGAGTCTCAGCTTCCTTGTCTGTAAAATGGGGATAATAATAGCTATCACTCATGAAGGGCCAGAGTGTTAAATGAATTAAACAATGAAGGTACTGCCAAGTGCCCTCACTGGCGTGTGTTCAGTGAAGGGCAGTCAGGGCTCATTCTGAATAACATGTTGAACTTGTCTGTTTTTAAAATTAAGAACATGGCATATAAACTTTAATTCACTCAACAAATAAAAGCCTTTACTCATTGGCTATGCTATAGCCAATTGTTAAATGAGAATGGATTGAAATGGGGGTGAAAAGAAAGATACTGTAAAGCTGAGACAAGTCTGTGAACGCACTCTCTATACAGTGGTTCTGAATTTCTTCTCAGTCACAGAATCCTTAAATATTCTAATAGAATGTTTTTAAAAGATAAAAAAAAAAATAAAAAGAATCTGTTGAAAGCCATCAGTCCTTTCCTCAGGAAACTATATACACATACATATCCACCAAATTCTGCAGAAAGATGTCAAGGAGGCCACGGACCTTGGGTTAACAACTCCTGCCGTAAACGAAAAAGGTACACAGATATGGAAAGCCTCCTTGAGAAAAATATGTAGAAATTCATACTTCATTCATACATGTATTTGAAAATTTTACTCATACTTAGCTATGTAAATATAATATGTAAAGCTCCAAGTTTTGTGGATCATAAAAATGTAAACCCCTTGAAAGAAAGAGATCCAATGCTCTATTTCCTGCCAGTACCTATGTGTCTCTTAACACAAGTTATCTTTAAATATAAGCATTTTGGTGCATTTCCCTTCTCCTCAGCAAGTTTGTTAGCTCCTTGAGGGTAGGAAGTATGTTTCATATAACTCTGCATCTCCCAAACCACCAAGCACAATGCTTTGCACACATTATGGACCTAAAATGGTTAACAGACCTGCCTTTACTGCACGTACACTTCTAACGCAGCTCCTGGTCCCAGTTTTCCAGAATGATATTTCAAACTGTCAAGAATATCTACCACTTTCCTGTTATTCTTGACATCTAGGAAGTCGTATGACTCCATATAATATAGGTGCTCTGCAATATGGGCCAAGGTGATGAAAAAGCTAAAATTAAGACAATGATAGCACTTCTCTATTAACAGAAAAAAATCTCGTGACGGAATTTTATGAATTTTAAGTTTTATCTCTCAGAACTTTTCTTAAACCTTAGGTACCCAATAAAGGTTGTATTTTAATCTCTTCAAGATGGAATCTAATTTTGTACAAAGGCACATATTTACTTCTTTTCTGTAAGTGCCCCACTACTGCACAATCAGGGAATATTGCCTCACTGAGTAACCAAGATGGAGAAGGATGCTACCACCTGCCGTCATGATTGAGTCCTTCGTAAAAGAGTCTCCTGGTGGCAGTATTAAGAAGTTCAACAAATTGGCCTGATATTCACTCAAGACTTTCCACAATTTGGTCCCAAACTTTCCATCCAAAGATTCACTGAGGAACTGTTTATAGAGTATTGTTATATTGATATTATACTAAATGCTGGGGAAACACAAGAGAACAATACTCTCAGTTCTTTCCCTCAGGAAAATTCACTGTAGCTCAGGATATAGGTGAGCAAACAGGTAATTTGAATATATTATGAGGAATGTTAGAACATTTATAAGCACAAGGTATCAAGACAGAACCTAAAAGGGGCGCTTAACCCAATCTTAGGGATATAAGAAGGCTTCCAGGGAAAGGTGGCCTCTATACAAAAACCTAAAGACTAAGTAAAACTTTGTCACTCACAGGAGAGGAGTATGGAAAGAAAACATTCTAGGCAGAGAGAATAGCATGTCTAAAGACCATCAGATGAGAGAGAACATGACCAGACCAACGGATTACACATAGTTCAATATGGCTGGAAAGTTCGTCGGTGGAAAGAGAAGAGGTTGGGGCGATGGACAAGAGGAAAGAGGACGAGGTGGATGAAATATAACAGTGAGACAGGCGACAGCACAGGTTATTAGAGCCTGATCACAAAGGGCCTTATATGCCATGCTAAGAGTTTGTTCATTCTGGTGACAATGGGGAACAATTGGAAAGTTTTAAACAAATGAGGGGTTTGATTAGATTTTCATTTTAGAAAGATCAACATTTAGGCTGTCATGATTAGAAAGGAGCAAGAACAACGGGACCTTCAAGATGGAGGAATTAAGATGTGTAGATCACCTTCTTCCCTACAAATACATCAAAAATACATCTACACGTGGAACAACTCCTACAGAACACCTACTGAACGCTGGCAGAAGACCTCAGACCTCCCAAAAGGCAAGAAACTCCCCACGTACCTGGGTAGCGCAAAAGAAAAAACAGAGAGAAAAGAATAGGGATGGGACCTACACCTCTGCGACGGAGCTGTGAAGGAGGAAAGCTTTCTACACACTAGGAAGCCCCTTCACTGGCAGAGGCAGGCAGTGGGTGGGGGGCGGGGAGCTTTGGAGCCACAGAGGAGAGCACAGCAACAGGGGTGCAGAAGGCAAAGCAGAGAGATTCCCGTACAGAGGATCGGTGCCGACCAGCACTCACCAGCCCGAGAGGCTTGTCTGCTCACCCGCCAGGGCGGGGGGGGCGGGGGGCTGGGAGCTGAGGCTCGGGCTTTGGAGGTTGGATCCCAGGGAGAGGACTGGGGTTGGCTGCGTGAACACAACCTGAAGGGGGCTACTGCACCACAGCTAGCAGGGAGGGAGTCCGGGAAAAGGTCTGGACCTGCCAAAGAGGCAAGAAACCATTGTTTCAGGGTGCACAAGAGGGGGGATTCAGAGCACCGCCTAAACGAGCTCCAGAGACGGGCACGAGCCGCGGCTACCAGCGCAGACCCCAGAGACGGGCATAAAACGCTAAGGCTGCTGCTGCCGCCACCAAGAAGCCTGTGTGCAAGCACAGGTCACTCTCCACACCTCCCCTCCCTGGAGCCTGTGCAGCCCGCCACCGCCAGGGTCCCGTGAGCCAGGGACAACTTCCCTGGGAGAACACACGGCGCACCTTGGGCTGTTGCAACTTTATGCTGGCTGCTGCCGCCGAAGTCTCACCCCGCATTCCATACACCTTCCGCCCGCCCCCGCCCCAACCACGGCCTGAGTGAGCCACAGCCCCCTAATAAGCTGCCACTCTAACCACATCCTGTGTGGGTGGGGAACAGATGCCAGAGGGTGACCTACATACAGAGGCGGGGCGAAACCCAAAGCTGAACCCCAGGAGCTGTGCAAACAGGGAAGAGAAAGGGAAATCTCTCCCAGCAGGCTCAGGAGCAGTGTATTAAATCTCCACAATCAACTTGATGTACCTGCACCTGTGGAATACCTGAATAGACAACGAGTCATCCCAAAATTGTGGCGGTGGACTTCAGGAGCAATTGTAGACTTGGGGTTTGCTGTCTGCGACTGATTTGTTTCTGATTTTTATGTTTATCTTAGTTTAATCTTTAGCACTTGTTATTATTGGTGGATTTGTTTATTGGTTTGGTTGCTCTCTTCTTTTTTTATAATTTTTTAATAATTATTATTATTTTTTATAATTATTTATAATTATATAATTATAATTTTTATACTTATTTTTATAATTTTTTTTATTTTTTATATTTTTAAATAATTATTATATTTTTATAATTATATAATTATTATTTTAAATAATTTTTTAATAATTATTTTAAATAACTTTTATAATTTTTTATAATTATTTTATACTTATTTTTATAATTATATTTATAATTATTTTAAAATAATTTTTAATAATTATTTTATAATTTTTAATAATTTTTAATTTTTATAATTATTATAATTATTTTTAATAATTTTTAATAATTATTATTTTTCATTTTAATAATTTTTATATTAAAAACTTTTAAAACCTTTATTATTATTCTTTTTCTTTCCTTTTTCCTCCCTTTTCTTCTGAGCTGTGTGGCTGACAGGATCTTGGTGCTCAGGCCTGAGACTCTGAGATGGGAAAGTCGAGTTCAGAACATTGGACCAACAGAGACCTCCCAGTCC